GTCTTCCTGGCTCTGATCTGGCTCTGACCTGGCCCAGACCTGATTGCTGAGTGAACCAGCAGATGGACGACATCTCTCTCTCTTTCAAATAAAAATTTTTAAAAAATCTGATGCACAAGCTTCCTCTCCAAGTAATTAAATCGGAATCCCTGAGGATGGGATGCAGGCCTAGGTGCTTTTCAAAGCTTCCTAAGTATATTAGTTTCTTACAGCTGCTTTAACGAATCACCACAAACATTGGCTTAAAGCAACACAAATCCATTATCTTACAGTTCTGGAGTCCAGAAGCCCAAAATGGATCTCACTAGGGTAAAAATCAGTGTTGGCAGAGCTACATTCCCTATTGGAGGCACCAGGGCAAAATGGGTTTTTGTATCCTTTCCAGCTTCTAGAGGTGCTCCTGTTCTTTGACTCTTGACCTCCTTCTAGCTTCAAAGCCAGCAATGACAGATTGAATCTCTCATACTGCTTCACATTGTCACCGCCTTTTCTGTCTTCCTTCTACACTTAGAGCCTTGTGAGTGCCTTGTACCAATGTGAACAATCCAGGATAATCTCCCCATTTTAAAAATCAATTGATTGGGGTGGGCATTTGGCCTAGTGGCCTGGCCCAGCCTTAGCCACCTAAGGCATTTGGGGAGTAAATCAGTGGATGGGAACTCTGTCTCTCAAATTAATTAATGAATCTTCAAGTCTGCTGAGCAGGGACATCCCATTCATCTGTTAGCTCTCTTTGCTGTGGAATGCAACACATTCACAAGGTTGTTGCACATCATTGGGGCCCCACTATGTGACTCCAATGTGCAGCCAAGGATTAGAACTACCATTCTCATTACAAGATGATGGTCTAGAGAAGGGACCCAGTTATCATGATGAGCTATGTCGCTCCCCCTCTTCGTGGAGGAACGACACTAAACCCTGCGCTGTTCTTTCGTCTGCTCGGCCCTCCCCGGGTTTGCTGCTGGTTCTTCCCGGGTTGGCTACTATCCCTTCCACCTCCGTGGAAGGGCGGTTCCCCCTGGCCGCTTTCCCCACTTCCGCAGGGGAGCGGCACACCGCCGGCCGGCTTTCTCGGGGGCTGCACAGGTGTTCCCTCAGATGTTCCCCTTAGATGTTCCTGGTGCATGCCGTCTCTCTCCTCCTTTATAGTCCTCCTCTGCCAATCCCAACTCGGCTGCCCACACGCCAAGTACGCTGCTCTCCTCCAATCAGGAGCAAGTCCTACAGTTTATTGGTTGAACTGGAGGCAGCTGTGCAGAAGCTGTTTACTTCTCTCCCAGCGCCATATTGTGGGAGAGCAGATGCATAGAATAAGTCTTAATTCCAGTAACTCAGTCTAGTCCGGATTGCTCCCCACAAGCTATGACAAGAGACCGGAGACACACACTAAAAACATGTGCTGAGAGAGGAAGGGCAAGAAGGTAGAGAAAGCAATGGTTGCCTTACCAGTCTTACATTGTTGCAGCATTTGGGGTGGTTGGGGGAGTTGTCTGGTGATTTATTCTCACTCAGCTCTCTGATAGTCCTGGGAAGTCAAACTGTACATTCTCCCAAGAAACAGCGAGACCATCCTCACTCAGCTGTAGCCATTACAGAGAATTGAGGCCATCTACACAATGAAACTTTTCACACTTTTATGATTGGTAACTATCAGCCTGCATCTTGCTTTCTGCTCACTCAGAGCCCAAGTGTGTGCCAGACTCCCAGTCTTTCTGTAGTTCTACAGGTCATTTCCCAGGGTAGAAGATGCACATTTCTGGGCACAGGTTGAATACGGCTTGAAGAGCTGTTCAGACGAGCCAACTTGTTTTCTTTTTTTTTTGTTTTTTTTTTTTTTGTTTTTTTTAGATTTATTCATTCTAAAGGCAGGGTGACAGGAGAGACAGAGATCTTTCTTCCACTGGTCCACTTTCCAACAAATGCCTGGAACTTTCAGAGATGGGCCCCGAAGCCAAGAGCCAAGAACTCTATCTGGGTCTCCCATATGAAGGGAAGGAACCTAAGAACTTGAGCCAACATCTGCTGCCTCCCAGGCACATTAGTAGGAAGCTGGATGGGAAGCGGAGGCAAGACTCAATTCCAGACACTCTGATAGGAGATGCACGTATTTCAAGCAATGGCTTAACCCACTGCCATGATGCCTGCCTTGGCCAATCTTTTAAGGTCAATACACACAAACACATGCCACAGTGGGACAGCATTCCTGTAAGACCACGATTAGCTGAGAACAGCCACTGCCTTTAGATGAAACATTTATTCTCTGGTTTGCTTCAGGTTTCATCCTAATGTTTTTTTGCACCCAACTCACTCCACACATTTTTGTTGCTTGCCTCAATCAGTAGGCATTTAAGTTTGTAACCCTCCTCCATGCTTAAAGTTAGGAAAAATTGTCATAAAGTCCCATCAGCCTGACTTCAGTGACAAAAATAGCTCTCCAGTGGAAAAGATGGGACACAGACCACCGGCTTTGTGCACAGAAATTACTCAAACTGCTACGTGCCTGAAGGTAGCCGAGACTAGAGCTTCGGTAAACAACCAGAGCCACCAAGTGATCCAGTGAACATAAGGTTCTCTATTAGTACAAAGTCCCCCTGTATAGAAACCAAGCTCAACTGTAACTTCTGCCCATTGGTCTTTCTTTAGCCCTCACAAGCACACATAACCAACTTCTCTTCTTTCATACCCAGGCTTTCAACAATTTTTAAGACAACTGTCAGGGCCATCATTGTGGCATAGCAGGTTAAGTTACCACTGGTTCAAGTTCTGGCTGCTCCAATTTCTTTTTTTTTTTTTTTTTTAAAGATTGTATTTATTTGAAAGACAGAGTTACATAGCAAGGTAGAGCCAGAGAGAGAGAGGGAGATAGAGAGAGAGGTCTTCCATCTGCTAGTTCACTCCCCAGATGGCCACAATGGCCAGAGCTAAGTTGATCCAAAGCCAGGAGCCAGGAGCTTCTTCCAGCTGTCCGCCATGGGTACAGGTGCCCAAGTACTTGGGCCATATTCTACTGCTTTTCCAGGCCATAGCAGAGAGTTGGATCAGAAATGGAGCAGCCGGGACTTGAACTGGTACCCATATGGCATGACGGCACTGCAAGCCAGGGCTTTAACCCACTGTGCCATAGTACCAACCCCAGGCTGCTCCAATTTCGATCCATGTCCTTGTTAATGTGCCTGGGAGAGACATGGAAGACAGCCCAAGAACTTGGACTTGCATCCACGTGGGAGACTCAGAAGAAGCTCCTGATTCTTGGCTGTGGCCTGGCCCAGTGGTGTCTATTGTGGCCATTTGGGGAGTTAACCTATGGATAGACTATGTTTGCCTTCCCATCTCTCTAACTCTTTCAAATAAATAAACTTTTTAAAAAACTGTCATTGCTCCTTGAGTGCATCCTTCTAGCTCCAGGGAGTCAACATATGAACATATTGAAATGGTCCTTGGACTGTTCCTCCTAAGACACAGTTGAGACTCTGTCATCATTCTGATTACTCCCTAGGTTGGCTGTGCCACCCAAGTGTGTGGCTTCCAACTATGCACAGCACTCAAGGGTGATATGATCAAGGATGGACAAATGATCCTCTTCGCAGATCTGGTGCCTCTACAACCCATCCTAACACTGCATGAACTGACAAGAAACTAAAGGATCAGGGCCAGCACTGTGGCATAGCAGGTAAAGCCACCACCTGCAGTGCCAACATCACATAAGGGCACTGGTTCAAGACCTGGCTGCTCCACTTCCAATCTAGCTCTCTGCTATGGCCTGGGAAAGCAGTAGCAAATGGCCCAACTCCTTGGGCCCCTGCACTCACATGCAAAGACCCAGAGGAAGCTCCTGCCTTCGGGTAGGCACAGCTCCCTGTTGCAGCCAGTTGGGGAGTGAACCAGCAGATGAAGACCTCTCTCTCTCTCTCTCTGCCTTGTCTTCTCTGTGTAACTCAGACTTTCAAATAAATCTTTTTTTCAAAAAAAAAAAGAAACTAGAGGAGCTTCTAAGCTGAAGTCTAGGATACGGGGTACAGAGACATGACAAGGGAGGTAAGTTTCCCTTTACAAAGTTCCAGCAGAAGCCCCTCCCCTGAAGAATAAGCACTGTGAATTTCTAATGGACAAGATCTGAAAATACAACACTTCTCCTCACTGCAATACCACTATTGCATAAGGATGACAACCTTACTTTGAAATATGTTTCACCTCCAGAGGTTAGAATCCATTTTAAGGACCCATGAAAAGATAAGCTGGGGTGAAGAACAGTGAAAATATCTATTTCCCATGGCACTCCTCATTAAGTCAGCCATGGCATAATTAGGATAAAATCCAATCTTGGAACCACTGGTTTAATAGTCATGATAAACGGAATTGATATTTCTGACTTAAGTGAAATTTGGGTTTAGATGTCATTTTGGCTTAACCATCCCTTATCTCAGATGAAGTGAGACAGTGTACGCAAACCACTGAGAAAGGTGCCTAGAACATGCTTTTATTGCTAATCTGTTTTCTGGCCATTCTTGGACATCTGTCCTTCTACCACAGCTCTTTATGCAGAGTCTGGCATGTAGGCAGCTGTCATCAGTCAATGCAGGGAGCAAATGAAGAACAAGACTTCTGGTCTGCAGCTCCCCGACAATGACAGTTGTGGGACCAGCCACCTTCATTCCCTCCACTAAGGACAGAACAAACAAATGGCTTAGGCTACAAAGTCTGGGTAGATAAGGAAACATGTTAAATAGCAGATTCCCCAAAATGGGGATGATAGTAGTGGCAGTGCCACCTGCAGGGAGTCAGCAGATGCTCTCAAATCTGTCTCACATGGATAGGGATCCTGTGTCTACCTTCTCTGGGCGCAGAGTGCCCTGCTGTCTCCCAGTCTCAAGGAGCCCTACTCAGTGTAGAAAGCAAAGCCCATGAACCCAGTGGCACTGAAGACGGAAAGGTACTTTCCCAGACCTCCCCAAGCCGGGGGTCACAAGGAGCCGAGTAAGAAATCAAGAAAAACACAAGGCTTAAAAACCACTGTGTGTTGTATTTCTTCAGTCCCTGGCAGGCCAGGAGTCCAGGGTCAGTCTGGGCAGGAAGCCGAGCAGAGTGCCTGGCCTCAGTGATCATACAATCTTTACAGTCTTGAGCATATCTGACAGGATGTAAGTGTCATCCCAACCCCTCCCAGGCTTCCTGAGCACCCGTTCCAAGGCCTGCGCCATCTCCAGGAGCTCTGGCAGGGCAAGTTTCTGCTCAGGGTGCAGCTGACAGAACAGGATCTCATTCACTTCATCCTCAATTCGCCGGACATACAAGAGGGGGAACACAGCCTTGAGCCCAGCCAGCACGGAGTCCTTCAGTCCCATATCTCGGCACACGAGGTTAAGGATAAAGACACCTGTAGGGTGGGAAGGAATCAGAATGACAACAAATCAGAGGACATGTTGGAGACAAGGACTAGCTCTGAGAATGCTGATTCCTGTCCCAGGGAAGCTAAGAAAAGCAACTACAGCTGTGGGGAGCAACTAGGACTAGACTAAGTTACCGGAATTAAGACTTATTCTATGCATCTGCTCTCCCACAATATGGCGCTGGGAGAGGAGTAAACAACTTCTACACAGCTGCCTCCAGTTCGACCAATAACCTGCAGGAGCTGATCCTGCTCCTGATTGGAGGAGAGCAGCGTACTCGGCGTGTGGGTAGCAGAGTTGGGATTGGTGGAAGAGGACTATAAAGGAGGAGAGAGACAACATGCACCAGGAACATCTAAAGGGAACATCCGGATAACATCTGAGCAGCCGCCGAGAGAGCCAGCCGGCGGTGTGCTGCTCCCCCACGAAGTGGGGAAAGTGGCAGGGGGAGCCGCCCTTCCACGGAGGTGGAAGGATCGGCAGCCAACCCGGGAAGGACCAGCAGCAAACCCGGGAAGGGCCGAGCAGACAAAAGAACAGTGCAGGGTCCTGTGTCGTTCCTCCACGAAGAGGGGGAGCGACATACAGCAGCAATGAATTTGCAAACACACAGCACACACAAGCAGAAAGACAAAAGCTGGGAACTATGTGAACCATAAGAAAATCTGAGCCTGGAGCGAGCATTTGGTTCAGCAGTTAAGTCACTAGTTATCTCTGAATTTGAATAAATGCCAGCTTTACTTTGAACTCCAGTCCAGGCTCCTGCTACTGTGCACTCTGGGAGTTGGCAGGAGATGGCTCAAGTGGTTGAGTCCCTGCCACCCATATGGGAGACCTGGAATGAGTTCCTGGCTATTGGCTTCAGCCTGGCCCAGCTGGCATTTTAGGGGTGAACCAGTAGACTGAAGATCTATCTTTCAAATACAATACAAACTTTAAAAAAAATTTAAATATTTTTTAAACACCTCAATCTTATTTCTTGCTTTTCTGTGCTACTAACACATTATTTTATCATTCTTCATACCTCACACTTCATTTTCCCAAAGAAAAATTTACCAGCTCCACAGGGACAGCACATTCTTGACATCATAGAGTATTTATCAACCAAAGATAGGACCAAGGTTACCTCGGCTTGTGACAGTTGAGGTTCTAAATCAGTCCAGTTCACCAAATGAAAACATATACAGGGCTATGAACACAGGATGAAGAGCACCAGCTTTCAGGTGACAAGGACCTAGTTTGGAGCTCCAACTTTAACCTGTACCACCTTGGCAAATCTCTCAACCTCAGTCTCACCTGATGATGGACTGCTATGAAGATTCAGTAACACTGCCTGCTTCAAGGCATGTGGGCACCATTTGGATGACAGCTAGTGTCATCATGCTTGTGGAAGTGTGAACCACTGCAGCCACTTTGTCAAACTATGTGGCAGCATGTGAGAAAGTTGAAGATACCCAGCAACTGTGATCCAGCAGTTACAATCCTGTGCATATACCCAAGAGACCTGCTAACATACTTTACCCAAGGGCATGGTTAATGGTAGCATTACTTCTAATAGCCCCAAACAGGAAGCACCCCAAATACCAACATGGAATGGAGAAATGAGTTGCGGTATAGTCACACAATAACACACAGTAATAAAAATGAACAGCATGGATGAGCCTCACAAAACATGCAAAGAGAAAGCAAAGACACTTAAAGATACATTCTGTATGATTCAATTTATATAAAGAACAAAAACAGGCTAAACCAGGCTATGGTGAGGTTAGGATAGCAGTCCCCTGGGAAGAGGAGTTACTGCAAGAGGATAAGTGGACTTCCAGGGTCTAAAAACATTCTGTGTTTGGTGTTGCTAAATGGGTGAGCTGATTTGAGGAAACTGATGGGCTACACAGTGATGTGCATTTTTCATTAAAAAGAGTGTGTTTCAAGGGCCTTGCCCCCCTCCTCTCCATACCATCAGGAGCCAGGATGCTTTTGACCTTCTGCAGGAAAGGCTGGTCCACAAACGCTGCAGGTGGACAACTCATTCCCAGTGTTGGGTCTTTACTGTCGACATCAAACATGATGACATCGTAGCGGGGCCGAGCTGCGAGAGAGAAGCAAGCAAGTCCTCATCTTTGCAGGATGAAACGCCATCTCCATCCTTACACTCCACCTCCTCCGTGACCTGTGGTTGGCAGGAGGACTACGAGAGTAGGATAATAACATGGAGGAAGTGGGTTACCTGTAGGACACTGACATCACAGTCCAGCAGAACCCTTGTCATGGGTCTTCCTCCACATTTAAAAGCACCTTCCAAAGGCACACACTTAGGGGGGCCACTCTAGCATAAAGACCCCATTGGCTAATCCATCCATACCAGTGGTTTCCAACCCCGGCAGAACATCAGAGCCATGTTGGGAAGCTTCTAAATGCTGAGAATATGGTAGCTACACTCCTGACTAACCAGGAAGGGCCCCGGGTAATTCCATATACAGTCAGAGCAGTTGCCTGGGCTTTTAAGGGGCTGACCCAGCACGTGGTAACTTTAACTTAACTCTGCAAATGGCACAGGTTGCCTCACCAGAGAAAATGTTCTTAAATTCCAGTGACTATATCCTTTCCAGTTACTTGAACAATAGCTGGCTCAAGAAAGTCATGACCTCGTTTGCTAAATGGATGAGAAAGAACTGATGAAGAAGTGGATTTGCTCCTTTATAATATGAAGCAGTTTTTACAACGGACAGGGCTGCATGCAATGCCACTGGTATGTTTTCAGCACATTTGAAGATTATGTGAATGAGGATTTAAAGCTATAAGAATTCACTTAGGATTGCTGCATGGTTGTTTCTATTCATAGCACAGATCTGATTTTGAGACTATGGCTCATTGACATTCACATTTGCAGCTTTCAGTTGCCAATAATCTCCACAGTTGTTGCACTTAGAGAAGATGGCGAGGCCATCAAAGCTGAGCTATAGAGAGTAAGAGCAGCAACACTGCTGTGGACCAAGTACTGCCATGTGCCTGGCACTGCTGGAAATGCATTACCTACATTAGCCTTAGCCTCAGAGAGAACCTGTACAACTCTTGATGTGTTTGTTAAGTTCATTTTGCAACTAAAATTAAGGCAGCATCTGTTCCAACATCAAAATATTCGCCCAAGGGGCCGGCATTGTAGTATAGCAGGTGAAACCACTGCCTACAGTGTCGGCATCCCATATGGTCACCGGTTGGAGTCTCAGCTGCTCCACTTCTGATCCAGCTCTTTGCTATGGCCTGAGAAAGCAGTAGAAGACAGCCCAAGTCCTTGGGCCCCTGCACCCACATGGGAGACCCAGAAGAAACTCCTGGCTCCTGGCTTCGGATCAGCACAGTTCCGGCCATTGTGGCCATCACAGCCATCTGAGGAGTGAACCTACAGATGGAAGCTCTCTCTCTCTCTCTCTTTGCCTCTGCCTCTCTGTGACTCTGCCTTTCAAATAGATAAATAAATCTTTAAAGAAAAAAAAATTCACCCAAGGCATCCTGGTTTGCCACACCCTTCCTGGAAAGCACGCTAATCCAGTGATTAGCACTCTGAGGGAATGCAGGCTGAGCTCTCCTGCAGAATGGAACCAATCCAACTTCTCCCTGAGGGACGCAGGCTCCAGAAAGCACCAAAGCCACCAAGAGCCCATATATAAAGTTGCAGAGGATTTGGGGAGCAGTTTTTGCTAGTATTTTACAGATACTTAATACGCCTGTTATTCTAAGTCTACAGCACAATTTATTAAAGCAAAATGGAGCCTTAATTCCAGTAACAGAAGAGCTATTCAGAATTCCCACTGAGTAGCACATGTATCAGGATTTCCCAGTCTCAGCACTACTGACGTTTTGCTTCAGGTAATTCTTTGTCATCAGTGGCTGTGCTATGCACTGTACCATATTTAGTTGCTATGCTTGGCCTCTACTCACTAGATGCCAGTAACATGCCCTGGCTCCCTGCAGATTTGAGGCTGAGTACCACTCATCTACATAAACACTGTTTTGCTCCATTTCTGGCTTCACCTGCAGCTGAAGGATTTACAAGGAACACCTCCCAACATATATATCTCATTTTTTCTTCCCTTTTTCTTCATCCAGTCACAGACTCTATAGAGTCTTTGGGAAGGTGAGGAAGCGGCAATGTTGCAGGGTCTGAAAGGAGGTCCAACAGCCTGTCAACCCCTAAGAACAGAAACAGCCTGCTTTTTTTTGGACAGGCAGAGTGGACAGTGAGAGAGAAAGAGAGAAAGGTCTTCCTTCCATTGGTCCACCCCCCCAATGGCCGCTGTAGCTGGCACACTGCGGTTGGCGCACCGCGCTGATCCGAAGCCAGGAGCCAGGTGCTTCTCCTTGTCTCCCATGCAGGTGCAGGGCCCAAGGACTTGGGCTATCCTCCACTGCACTCCCGGGCCACAGCAGAGAGCTGAACTGGAAGAGGGGCAACCAGGATAGAATCTGGCCCCCTGACTGGGACTAGAACCCGGGTGCCGGCACCACAGGCAGAGGATTAGCCTATTGAGCCGCGGCGCCACCCAAAACAGTCTGCTTTATTTGTTGCTATCCCCTAGCACCTGGTGAGCACATAGTTGGCACTCTATACTTACTGAATAATACAGAATGACATTAGGGCTCTAAGCCCTAATGTGACTGTATTTGGAGACAGGACTTTCAGGAGGTAATTATGGTTAAACAAGGTCATAAGCATGGGACCAAATACAATAACAATGTCTTCGTTTTAATGATTTTGTGACTTTTAAAATTCACTTTAAATGAGTGAAGTTGAACATCTCTTCATTTGATTGTTCTTTACAACCCTTACCTATTTTCCTGCTGGACTAAGGTCTTTTTACTCTTTATTTGTTGAATTTTTTTAAGAATTTATTTATTTGAAAGGCAGAGTTACAGAAAGGCAGAGACAGAGACAGAGAGAGAGAGAGAGAGAGAGAGAGAGAGACAGTTCTTTCATCCACTAGTTCACTCCGCAGTTGGCCTCAACAGCTGGAATTGTGCCTATCCGAAGCCAGGAGCAAGGAGCTTCTTCCAGGTCTCCCATGCAGGTGCAGGGGCCAAGAACTTGGTCCATCTTCTACCACTTGCCCAGGCCATAACAGAGAGCTGGATCAGAAGTGGAGCAGCCAGGACTCAAACTGGCACCCACATGGGATGCCGGCACCACAAGCAGTGGCTTTACCCATTACGCCACAGCGCCGGCCCCTATTTGTTGAATTCTTTATTTAGTAGAACCATTAAGTCTTTGACTATAATGCAAATTAAAATTATGTTATCTCAAAAAAATTGACAAAATAAAAAAAAATAAAGAAGCAACAACAGGGATGTTGGTCATTTCAACAGGAAGAACGGTCATCTGAAGACACAGTGAGAAGACGGCCATCTGCAAGCCAAGGAAAGAGGCCTCAGGAGAAACCAAACCTACTGGTGTTTTAGTTGTGGACTGCCAGCCTCCAGAACTGTGAAAAAGAAATTTACGTCATTTAAGCCACATGGACACAGCACAGACTGGAATGACACAGGTGCCACTTCTTAGAGATGAATTCTAACCTTGGATAGATTCCTCCCCCCTCCCAAGACCCTTCCACCCACCCCAATAACAAACAGTACCTTCACCTCCTCCTGCCAGGCTGCTGATATAGTCCAGGCCATCTGCAATATGGACCTTCATTCGGTCACTCTGGGAGAAGCCAAACCACTGGGTAGCCACTTCCAACATGGAGGGGTCGATCTCCACAGCATCAATGCAGGACTTCGGGAAGTGATCATGAACAAAGAGGGGGAGGCTGCCCCCTCCCAGACCTACGACCAACAATGCCAGCGGGGTCTCTGCAGTAAAAGAAGAGAGCATCACTTGGCCATCTGCTCACGGTAAAGTTTTGTACCAGCCTCATGGAGGGCAAAAAGGAAATCAGACTGTTGGCTCTGCTCAGGGATCCAAGACATAGAGATCTGGCCTCCCTGTCTCCACCAGAATTTAGGAAACAACTGACATGGAAAACTCAAGTCTGGCCCCACAAAAACTAGATCCAGAAGATGAACCAACAAGTTATTTTTATGGTCTCTTAAAAATCCCAAAGCACTCACCTGTCTTGGTACCTAGAGTCTCTACTACAAGCATTATCAGACCCTCATCCTTTGAAAATGGAGGAACAATGGCCATGCAGTCTTGTTCACGACCATGAGGCAATCCAAGTGCAATGTCCCTTTCTTCGTTCTCAAAAGGCTATAACTGCATTCCCAGATACCTCAGCCAACAGAGGGCAACCCATCCAAGTTCCACAAACCACAGAAAATCAAGGTCCCAACCCTAGCCCTAAACACAGAGAAACTAGCAACCAGAGAGGGGCTCAATGAAAACAAGAAACGAAAGAATCACCAAAAGGAGACAGACCCCAGGATTAAATCTAAGAACTAAAATTCTAAGACACACATCAACATAGGCCAAAAGTGCAGGGTGTTTCAATAAGACATATGCAGGGACTTCAGGTGAAAACAATTATGAACTTAGACCGAAACATGAACACATCTGCTACTGTAGTCAGATCCAAACCTATTACTAGTGATAAGCTATGACTACACTAACTGTAAGAATTTTTTTTTTTTTTAGAAATTCAAGAAAAAATTCAATCTACTGCCCAAATAATGTATTACCGAAAACTCAGACATTATCTAAAGGCACTGGAGACATACTTAATATAGGTACCACCTACTTAACATGGGTATATACATATGTAAAAATTCATCAGGCTGAACAATCTAAAGTTTGTGTTCTTTACATACTTTGTCAAATATACATCTTAACTTTTAAAAATGAAGAAAACAGAATGTAGACAACAAAACTGCCCTCTGCTGGTTGGGGTCTCAGGGAAGGCAGTAACAGCCTTTTGAACTGAAACCCAGAAAAGGGGCACTGCACTTTGACCGCCTTGTGATCATGAATGAGACTGCTTGGGAACTGTCACTCCATTTTCTAAGGGCAATGGTCATTTCAAGATTACAAGCTAAGTTTGGGACAAAAGTTACTTGGATGCTCATTAACGCAGAACATGGCTGGGATGAAGAAAGATATTAATCTATGTGCATTCTTCAGTTTGTAATCACTGTTCTTTAACTACATCTGTGTTCTTACATGTTCCCGACTATGGAAGGCAGTGGCATCACTCTCACCTAGGAGCAGCTCTGGGTTTCTCAGCAGGGCAAGGCCAGCGATCATGGCTTTGTGGTGTTCACAGCACAGGTAACTCTTATCGATGGACTGTCCTGGGGCTGCAGGCAGATGCTCAGCAGTATCGGCAGGCCGCTGCTTCTTCCGGTCCTTTTTCCGTTTCTTCTGAGCTAAGAGAGAGACAACAGACTGGTAAAGTCCCAGGCTTCATACACCAGCCCTTGGACAGCAGGGACTACCAGCAGCAGTGTGCAGCTGGCCTGAACAGATTCCACAGACAACAGGAATTTCACAAATAGGTTGACATCATGTTAAGTAGCTTTAAATTGGCTGATGGGAATATTCATATAACAGAAACTGGAAAACACACAAATCAAGGCTCCTCCATGCCCACCACCATGCACACGTTTTCATACCACGGAATCAGGAAAGGAGCCCTACAACCTCACCTCTGAAACAGGAGAAAAGTGGATTCATAAATTCTTTTTAGAGAATAAAGACACAAAATAACCAATTACTCCACTGTGTCAATTACTGTGCCAGGACATCCATTCTATTAAATCTTCTAACAACCCTATTGCCCCAGTACTTGGTACAAGAAAATAGAGAGAGCACTGGCTGTTAAGTGAGCACAGAATTAACAGGTGATGCAGACAGGATGGGAACCTGGGCCTGCTTGCCTCCAACATCTGTCATCTTTCTATGATGCCATCTAGACAATGCCACATGGCACGCTGAACAGAAAATCACAGCGTCCACAGAAAGGGGAATTCTTATAAAAGGTCCCTCTGCTTTCCCTCTACCCATGCCCTCAGCTGCTCTAGGAGAATAACTAAGCAGATAGCTGTGTCTTCTCCTAGAAACCAGCTGCATCCCATGGCAGCCTCAGGGACTGATATGTAGCAATGGGGTGCTTTTCAAGGACATGAAATAATTTTTTTAAAAATTTTTAATTATTTATTTGAAGGACAGAAACAGAGAGCTCCCATCCACTGATTCACTCCCTAAATGCCTATATACCCGGGGCTGGGCCAGGCCAAAGCCAGAAACCAGAAACCCAATCCAAGCCAGGTCTCCCACATAGGCAGGATCCAAGCACTTGAGCCATCATCTGCTGCCTCCCAGGTGCATTAGCAGGGAGCTGGACTGAAAGCAGAGGCCAGAACTCAAATCAGCACTCTGATATGGGATGCAAGCATTCCAAGCAGCAGCCTAACCTGCTGAGCCACAATGCCAGCTCCCCTAAGTCAACTTTTTTATGTGCTCCCTTTTTCCTCACAATGTTTCCATGATGGAGACCATTCCCGCCATGAAAGGCAAGGAATTTGACAATAACAAAAAAGTCCAAAACCCAAACGGAGGGGGGAAAAATGTTCTTTTAAAGTAATTTTGCCAAGGTTCCAATAAGATGAAACTGAACCAATTTACAGCCAGGGGGCCAAACAACAGGGCAGAGACCCAATAAACACAGGTGCCCTTGGGCAGGGGAAACTCCTAAAGAAAAACCATTCTGCTCAGAGTACTCAATCCTGGGCTCAGTGCAAATCTACGACCTCAAGAATCTGAATTCTCTTTCCACCTCTTTCCAAATGGCCTTGCTGTGAGGACGGCATGGTCATCAGGCAAAGCAAACCATGGGATATAGGACACCCAATTTCAGATTCCATCCCTGAAAAAGGGAAGTTGAAGTGCAAAGGGGAAGGAAAGGAGCACTCACTTTTTACTTGATGCATTTGTTGTTAAATTGATCACAATAAGTACTGCTTTACGACACATACATACCCAGTGGAGAAAACAAGTTAACAAATGACTGATGTTCCATCAGTCAGAGTTTCTGAGTGGCATCCTGGAGACCACCAAAGGAATCCTAGAGCTAGCCACTAGCTACATTGGTCATTTACATGTGAACGTAGGGACCGACACTGTGGCATAGCAGGTAAAGCCGCCGGCATCCCATATGGGCGCTGGTTCAAGTCCTGGCTGCTCCACTTCTGATCCAGCTCTCTGCTATGGCCTGGGAAAGCAGTAGAAGATGGCCCAAGTCCTTGAGCCCTGCACCCACGTGGAAGACCCGAAGGAAGCTCCTGGCTCCGAAGGATCAGCTGAGCTTCAGCCATTGTGGCCAACTGGGGAGTGAACCAGACCTCTCTCTCTCTCTCTCTGCCTCTCCTTCTCTCTGTGTAACTCTGATTTTCAAATAAATAAATAAATCCTTTAAAAATGTGAATGTAAATTAATTGTAATTAAATTAAAAATTCAAGTGTTCATGGTGTATGCTGTGGCACAGCAGGTTAAACCGTTTCTTGATTCTATATTAGAGTCCCTGGGTTTGAATCCTGCCTCTGCTTCCAATCTAGCTTCCTGCTAATGCATACTAAGAGGCAGGAAGTGACAGCTCAAACACTTGGATCCCTTTCTGAGGAAGAGTTTTTGCTTTTCAAACTATTTGTTGAATCCTTTACTTAGCGTAGGGTTATTCTTAGATATATATAAAGCTAATTGAAAACAGATCTTTGTAAAAAAGAAAAGAACAGAATAGGAGAGGGAGGAGAAAGAAGGGTGGGAGTGCAGGTGGGAGGGAGGGTAGGGTGCGAAGAATCACTGCGTTCCTAAATTTGTATGTATGAAATGCATGAAGTTTGTATACTTTAAATAAAAGGTTTCTAGGTTAAAAAAAGAAGAAGAAGAGGAAGAAGAAAAAGAAAAAGAACTTGGATCCCTGCAACTGAAATGGAACACTGAGTTCCTGACTCCTGGCTTCAACCTAGTCCAGCCCCAGCTGTTGTGGAAATTTGGGCAGTGAACCAGCAGATGGAAGATTGTGTTCTAGTTCTCGTGCTCATTCTCATTCTCATTTTCTCTCTCTGTTTCAAGTACAAAAATAAAATCAACTTAAAAAAATAAAATCCAACAGCTGTATACGGCTAGTAACTACCCAACTGGAAGCTCGGATATTAAACACGTCCTTTATCACAGACAGCTCTATTGAACAGCACTGAAACTGATGGCCTCCAGCAACCTTAAAATACCCTGAAGGGGCAGGCATTTGGCAAAGCAGCTAAGATGCCACTTGGAATGCCCACATCGCATACCAGAGTTCCTGGGTTAAGTTCTAGCTCCGCTCCTGATTTCGTGTGCACCCTGAGAAGGCAGCAGATGATGGCTCAAGTAGCTGGGTCACTACCACTCATATGGGAGACTCAGATTGAGTTCTGGGCACCTTGCTTTGGTCTGACCCAGCCTCAACTGTTGCAGGCATTTGGGGAGTGAAATAGAGGATGGAATATCTGTCACTCTGTCTCTCTAAGCTTTCTAATAAATAAACTTTTTTAGATTTTATTTATTTATTTCAGTTTCAGTCATTGAGAGGGTGAGATAGAGAGAAAGGTCTTCCATCTGCTGGTTCACTCCCTAAATGCCTGATCAGAAGCCAGGAGCTTCCTCCAAGTCTCCTACAAGGGTGCAAGGGCCCAGGTGTTTGGGCCATCTTCCACTGCTTTCCCAGGCCACACCAGAGAGCTGGATCTGAAGAGGAGCAGCCGGGACTCGAACTGGAGCCCATATGGGTTGCTGGCATCAGGGGCGGAGAATTAACCTACTGCACCACAGTGGCGGCCCCAATAAATAAACTTTTAAAGAGCCATCTGAAACAAGTGACAGTCACACCACAGAGGAGGGCAGGGCTCACCTGTAATATCCAGGGGCCACATCCTGTCAAACAGATGCCCTTTACACCACAGGCCTGAAAGCTGACTGCCACGTTTACTTGGTTTCACCACTGCTGCTCCTTAACATTTCAGAGCCACACTTTTGCTCAAGAACAGAACACGCACCCCCCTCTGCTCACTGCCACTCAGACTCTACCAGCCCAGATGGCAGGAAAGGGCAGCCCAGGCACATGCACCCAGCCATGTCTTCCTGCATCTTGGCCAAGCTTCCAGGTCTTTTTGACCACCACAAACCCAGAGTCCATACTATGTCAACTGGGGTCCCCGCACCATGCCCTTGATGCCTCACCTCTGTGAGACGCCTCCTTCAGCAATCTGGCTTCTGACTGAACCACGTTCCTGCTGCTGAGGAAGATCAGCCGCCGAAAGTATCGCCTGTCGTCCCCTTGCACGTCTTCAATAACATAGTCGCCACTCAAAGGGCTGCGGTCTTGGTGCTGGACAGTCCGTACCCCGATGTCCCCACCCACAGACAGAAAGGGCACCTGAAGGTACAGCCAGAGATGTGGTCAAACACCAGCTCCATTAAGAAATGCAAGAAAGGTGAATCCCTTCCCTTTGTGCATGTGAACGTAGGGACTCTCACACCAGGATTCTGGACAGCAAGAACTGCAAAGTTTCATCTTTCTATTAAAGGCCTTCTCTGGGAATTTTAATAAATCTCAACAAATGTGATTCACCTTTTGAAAATCAATGAACACACAGAGATCTCCCAAATCACTAACATGATATAGTTAGCTTTCCCAAGACAAATAGAAGCTTCTCGTCGGAAACCCCTAAAAGAACTTCATAGTCTTGGACAAGGAAAGCTGGAGAGAGCCCTCAGGAAAGGGCTGTAACTGTGCAAAGGAATCTGAACACAAGGACAGAGCCAGCAAATTTCGGGGGTGGTGGGGGACAACTACTCCCAATTTGGAGAAATTTCTCCCTACCACCAGCTGTTCTTGTCTCCACCCCCAATTTTTCTAAACCTTATGAGCAAAATACACTATTTCTCTAAATTTTCCACTCCACCATCATCTTTACAATCATTACTCCTTGAAGATCTAGTGGAATATTCAATAATTCCCAGGAACCCCTGACCTCGCAGGCACTGGTGACAAAAAGCCACAAAAGAAGCTCTCCAGAAGGCGTGGGCCTCCCTGAAATGACTCTCTTCTGAGGGACCCCCCACCAACCCAAAGAATGCCAGCAGGAATCAAACACACATTCACCTGTAAACACAAGTCTGCCCAGGGGGCAGAACCACAGGCTGGCGACCTGGGAGCCTAGGTTCTTCTTCTCCCAGATCTGCTATGATTGCCCCAAGCCTCTAGGAACTGGGCTTTCCCACCCATCCTGACTGTCCAGTCCTTGCAGTGACATCACCTGTCAATTACCCATGCAAGGCAGGTGGTGCCAATGGCTAATACTGACAACCTTCCCAGGGAAACACCAGACTAGCCATGCGAATACCCTGACAGTTGTGCTGAGCCGGTAGGGCCTTCTCCCAACACTGGCTTCAACAATGATAGTTCCAAGGAACAGGATGGCCCAGGAAAGTCTGTTCAAAAGGGGATTAGGAGAAAGGCACAGGCAGAGCAGTCTGCACCATGAAGAGCGCTTCCTTCAGGCCTCCAGACACAGCTGCCCTGTGGCTTTCACTCAGGACAACCACTCCCCTTCCTCTCACTGCCAGAGATGCTGAACTCTTAGCTGCTGACACTCCTCCAGGATTTGGCTAGGGTCACACACTCTGGTCCTGGCTCCTCCCAAGGTTCCCTCCACCTCCCTGGCTGCTAAGGACTTCAGAGACCCATGAGGGTTGCTCCCAAAGCTTCGTTACCTGCTGCTGTGCAGGCATCCCAGCTGGGGCCAGCTCCATGACTCTGGCAGACAGCTCAGCCTGGATGCTGTCCATGCCTTCGTACTGCTGACCTCGGTGAAGGGCCACTGTGACCAGTCTCCTGAAGCCTGCGCTGGCTGCCAGCTGCTTCCGGCCCTCCTCCATGCCGAAGAGCCACTCGGTCTCCCGGCCTTGGGGGACTGGAAAGAGGGACTTGATTACAGGGAGTCCTGGGAAGAGAGCTCAAGACCACAACCAATATGGCCCACATGGCAGGGAGCCAGCCTCACCCAGGACCAGCGTCCTTCCCCACCATGACCCACTGAGGGGCTATCAATTCCCTGGTGCATGAGCCAGGGCAACGCAGCCCGCCAGACCTGAGGCAGGCCAATGGATGGGTGAGCAGGCACAAGTCTGTACGGAGGGATGAGGGTGGTGGGCAGGCTTGAAGTGCAAGAACAAGAGCAACAATACCAATGCTTATTGCATGCCAGGCAGAATTCCAAGTAGCTCACAAATATAAACTCATGGATTCTTCACAGGTACTATTATTATCCCCAGTTGTATAAACAAGGAACTGAGGCCAGAAAATACATCCTTTGCCCAGGTTCACAAAGCTCGGAAATGGCAAAGCTGGGACACAAGCCCAGATGCCCTGCTCACATCCCTGCACTGTTTGCTCCCACAGGTGGACAGTCAAGTTTATGGAGTGCTTGGGAAAATGGTTCAGTCACCAGGAAACAAATTACCAACATGACCATAACATCTTGCTCTTGTCTAAAACTTTTTACTTTGGAAAGCATTTCCTCATACTATGACTTTTTGATCCTTATAAAGGCAAATCTATTGTCATTTACTCTTTTCAGTAATAACAGCTAATATTCATAAAGCATTTTTCATGTGCTAGGCACCATTTCTAAGAGTTTTTACACTTTTCACAACTATACAACCATTATGACCCCGTTTGACAGATGAAGAAACTAAGGCACAGGGGAAAAAAAGGAAGCTGTCCAATGTCACACTGCCAGGAAGTGACTGAGCCAAGACTGGGACCCAGACAGCCTGGTTCCAGGGCTCACTTGTCAAGCCACTATCCTGTACTGCCTCTCTGAATTCTGTGGAGAAGGAAGTGACTCCCAAGGCCCTGCAGCTCCTATCTTAGGCCTGCTAGTCCAGCACTGGTTCCATTACTCCATGCTGCAAAGTCACACCTCTGGAACGTATGATCTTGCTAGGTTTCTGTCTGTTCTCTTCTTCTCCCTACCAACCTCACTCATATTTCATCAAGCTTTTGCAATGCAAGATGAGAAGGAATCAGCCTCAAATCTAAGCAAGCAGTTGTTACTCTCCTTTCATCATGCCTTGGCTAGTCTAACTCTCTGGAAATACAAGCCCTTGCAAGATAAAAACAGCAAAGACATGCCCATCCACCAAAGTTCCAGCCCCAGCCCCAGCCCCTCCAGGGAAGAGAGGGAGCAATCCCAACTCACTGATGAAAATGGCAAAATGATTGTCCCTCGATGGTTTCACAGTGGGGCTGTCCACCACGTGGAGGGTGTAGCGTGGCTCCCCCGTGTCCCCATCGCACAAGTCCAGAGACACACTCCCCAGCCCGGCCTTGCGGCGCAGCTGGCTGCACAGCCAGGCATACTGCTGCCGCTCCCGCACCGCCTCCGCCAGCCGCTCGGCACTCTCCAGCCGGGTGGGCTTGCCCTGCTCCTGAGCACACAGCTCAAAGATCTGAAGGGCAGAGCCAGGGGTTGGCCTGAACTTGGTCATGATGAAGGCAAAGACAGGCAGGGGGAACCGAGGCTCTGCTTCCAACACCTGGTCCTGGCTGCTAGCCACTTGGTGCACCCTCACCATCCACCCCTCCCGAGAGAAGTGACCCACTGCTTTCTTCAGGATGTGAGCCTGAGCCAGGGAGATGCAGAGGTAGCGACCGCCCACCTGCAGGACACGGCCAACCTCAGCCAGCATCCTGTCCACCTGCTGCAGGGTCTTCTCCTCCTCATCTGTCAGGATAGCGTCCAGGGTGCCCTTGTCCAACACCACCTGGAATGATGCATTGGGAAACTCCATCTGCGTCATGTCCATCTTCAAGAAGCTCATCTGGGGCCGGCGCGTGGCATTGCGTTCCTTCATTTGCTTAATGACAACCTCACTGATGTCGATGTTCACGATATCCTTATAGCCCACGTCATATAGCTGCTCACTCAGCTCTGAGTTGCCACACCCAATCACCAGCACCTGGGGAGAAAAGCCACAAGTGAGATGGAGGTGATCCAGGCTAAGGAATGTGCTTCAGAGACTGCAAGGAATTCAGCCGGCCCTTGGCTACTGCATGTTTTCAGAAGGTGGAAATGCTATCGTTGGGGTCCGGTGCTATGGTGTAGCAGGTTAAAGCCCCGGTCTGTAGCGCACCGGCATCCCCTATGGACGCTGGTTCGAGTCCTGGCTGCTCCACTTTCAATCCAGCTCTCTGCTATGGCCTGGGATAGCAGTAAACGATGGCCCAAGTCCTTGGGCCCCTGCATCAGCATGGGAGACCTGGAAGAAGCTCCTGGCTCTGGATCAGCTCAGTTCTGGCCATTGCGGCCATTTGGGGAGTGAACCAGTGGGTGGAAGTCCTCTCTCTATGGCTCTAACTCTAATGTAACTCTTTCAAATAAATAAAATAAATTAAAAAAAAAAAAAAGGGCCGGCACCGTGACTCACTTGGCTAATCCTCCGCCTGTGCTGCTGACACCCTGGGTTCTAGGTCCTGGTTGCTCCTCTTCCAGTCTAGCTCTCTGCTGCGGCCCGGAAGTGCAGAGGAGGATGGCCCAAGTGCTTGGGTCCCTGCACCTGCATGGGAGACCGGGAGGAAGCACCCGGCTCCTGGCTTCGGAATGGCGCGGCACCGGCCATGGTGGCCATTAGGGGAGTGAACCAATGGGAAGAAGACCTTTCTCTCTGTCTCTCTCTCTCTCACTGCCTAACTCTGCCTGTGAAAGACAGAAAGACAGAAAGAAAGAAAGGGAAGAAAGGAAGAAAGAAATGCTATCAGGAGGGAGCAAGATCCCAGAATTGACTCCAGACTCCATCCTGAAGCACTACAGGTTAGAGCAACTCTCACCAGTCAAAATCACACCGAGCTACAATCCGGGCAATAAGAGAATGGGCTTTGTGTTACAGAAGCAAACTAACCGTGCTTGTGCTTCCCGATGAGGCAAGCACTTAGGACTGGGAAATTAAGAGGAAGTCACAGAATCCAAACAGCAGTTAGAGCTGAAACCTCAAATTTCACTGTTGAAAACATAGGGCTGGCAAAACCTTATTTTCTCAATCCACATATGCCTTTGGTTCCCCCAGACAATAAACTACATTTTGTGAGAATTCAAATCTTAATGCCTATCACAGTTCCACCTCGTGATATTTAGTTATTTTCTGAAGCCAAACTTAAACCACAAAGAAGCCTTCCTCTTTGTGCAGTGATCCCCCATTCATCCTCCAAAATTCTGCTCCATAAAGATATATACGCTTTTGAGCCAGACGGGCCTGAATTTAAACTTCCATGTGACCACTTCTACTCTCAGAGCCTCAATTTCCTCATCTGTAAAATGGACCCAGGGCCACTCACCAGGGCTTATGAAGAGAATTCAAACACTGTCGGTGCCTACACACAGCAGCCACCATAAGCTCGCATGGAATGCTTCCTCTATAGCTATTAAGGTGCCTTTGTTACCTTTCTTTTCCTTCTTCTGGTACAACCCCACCTCTACCAAACCTCCTACTATTGTACTTACCACTTTTCACTTGTGAATTGTGAGCAGGTTTGTCTTAACACCTGTGCAGCTAAAGGGCTGAGCACAGCGCCTGGACTCAATGCGCAGCCAACAACTATTTGATTAAATAGATTCATACAGAGAGGCCAAAACGTGCCGGCTATTCCACAGGGAGCCAGTAACAGGGAGCCAGCACACTTTCAGGGGGCGACCTCTAAGTTGGACGACTAAAGAAGTCATTCTTCCAAGTAGGAACACTAACTACTAGGGGGCGGGAGGTCTGTTATCGGAGAGCATTTAAGAGAATACCTTAAAGTCGTCTTTTAGCCGATACCTGGCATGAAGTCCCGACAACGCGGATCCGATGGCTGTCACTGTCTGCCGGTGCGGGATTAGTGTCACCGGTTCCCACGGTCCCGGGCGCACACAGGGCTGCCAGGCCGCGCTCCTTACCTTCTCCCTGGGTTTGATGTATTTGTGCAGCACCCCGCAGAGTTCCAGGTAGGTCCCATACCACTCGAAAGCTTTCTTTCCTCGCTGCTGGAAGAACTTCTCCCAATAGTCAACGGAGCCAAACTCCCTGGAGCTTTTCGGTAAGAGATTCATGTTCCCCCGGGCCCGAGCTGCGTCTGCTAGCCGCTACGCCCAGTGGGACACCATCGAGGGGCTTACCCCGGCCCAGGCTCTGAGACGCCGCAGCGGGACCGCTACCCACGGATAAGGAGCCTCATGGATGTGCTCCCTCACTCGTCACCTTACCGGCAAAGGCACGAGCGGGCCCCTGAATCTGCCACACTGCACCTCTGCCTCCGCGCCAGCGCTCCCCTGCCCCACGTGGAGCCCCTCACTTTCTCCGAGCTAGGTTTTCAGAACGCAGGAACCATATCCGGGTGCGAGGCCTCGTGATTGGTCGGCACGCCAGACCACCCCGACAACTCATTGGTTACCGCTGTTCGCACCTAGCGTCCCATTGGCTGCGGGGCGCTCGCCTCACGCGGGCGGCTCCGTCGCAGGCGCCGAGCGCTCTATTGACGTGAGGCGCGCCGGGGTCAGGGCGGAAGAGGCCGCGCGGCCGTGAGTCAGGCTCGCATCCGCGTGCCGCAAGGGGGCAGTCTTCGTTGATTTGGGCTGTGCCGCGCGGGCTCCGTGGGGTCTGGGTCTGTTCGGTCTCCAGGCCACACCGGGACTGAACGCGGGGCGTGGGAGCGCACTGAGGAGGGGGCTCGCAGCGGAAACCCTGTTCTTTGAAGCCAGTCGGTCGGTCGTGAAACAGAACCGCACCTGGTGTTATCGTCTATATCTCCCACTCGCCCCCTGCCCCGTCTGATTATGTCACTTGTGTAATTCAGATTTGAGTTGGAGGAAAATGGCACTTGCTGTACATCATCTGCACTAAAACCCAGGGTTCCACTATCAAAAGCTTCAGGAAGAGCGTAACAACTAGGAATTCAGGGGTCGCTCCTTTCCCACTTCCGGCCCTCAAAGCTCAGGAGCAAAACTTAGGACTTACTTGGTGGTCAGCATCCTTGCGATACCATTCTGATGTCATCTGTAACTGCTTATTTCGTGTGTTTGATGAACGGACTGTACTGTGAAGGCTCATTTTAGGCTAGAACTCTGCAATTTCCTATAGGGGCTCCATCTTAAAGACTGCGTTTGGCACTGGGCCTTTCACAGACGGAAATCGCAGAAGGAATGTAAGGATTGCGGAGGGCAGAAACATTGAGCGTCGGTACTCAAGGCACAGATAGCCAGGTAGAACCTCTGTCCGTGGTTAAGTACACGGATTTCCAATTTTTCTATACCAAAATACACCTATAATTTAATTCCATTTTCCCCAAACGTTTGTAACTTTGTAGGTTAAAGAGTGAACTTAAGCCGGTTTAAAAGTGATTCTCCAGCGTGGCCTTCCTTAAATCACCTGGAGGCTTATTCAAACAGATTGCAGCGGCCCACCCCTAGTCCTGATTAGTTTCTAGCGATTCCCAGGTTTGGGTGATGGTGTTGGTCTAGGGACCACACTGTGAGAGCTACTGTTTCAACCTACTGTATAATTGAGATAAGTCAAAATGGATGTGACTTCTACTTCACAATTCTAGAAGGCTGATTTAAAAGCCCTCTACAAGTAATACATGCTCCCCTAGCTGAATTCACATTGTTTCCTCTCTAGCCAAGGAGAACCTGCAGGAGTCTCTGAGGCAGCCTCAGCTACTATATTATGCATAGTTCCTAATGGGTGAGACCTGGGTTCTTCAGAAAACGTTTTTGAGAGCTGAGGATGTTGCTTGTACTAGAAGCCCTACACTATAACGGAAGCAAAACACCATGGCTTTCCGCCCCCTGCCCCAATTCAATAAACACCTGAATTATCTAATATGAGCCAATCATGCTAAAAGCTAAGGATGCAGTGGCAAGCAAGGCAATCACATGACAGGCACATTAAACAATGTCAAAAGTAATCTGTAATAAGGGCTGTGATGAGTGCTGCAAAATAGAAACATAAGATTTCATGATATCCAATATGTTTGAGAGTCCTCCTGATGCAATGGGGAGAGAAGGCTACCCTGAGGAAGGGGTAAAAAGATTCTATAAAACTGACTGCTGGCCGGTGCCGCGGCTCAATAGGCTACTCCTCCACCTAGCGGCGCCGGCACACCGGGTTCTAGTCCCGGTCGGGGCGCCAGATTTTTTTTCTCGGTTGCCCCTCTTCCAGGCCAGCTCTCTGCTGTGGCCAGAGAGTGCAGTGGAGGATGGCCCAAGTGCTTGGGCCCTACACCCCATGGGAGACCAGGAGAAGCACCTGGCTCCTGCCTTTGGATCAGCGTGGTGCACTGGCCACAGCGCGCCAGCCGTGGCAGCCATTGGAGGGTGAACCAACGACAAAAAGGAAGACCTTTCTAAACTCTGTCTCTCTCACTATCCACTCTGCCTGTCAAAAAAAAAATTAAAAAAAAATTGACTGCTTTAGTAAATATTGCTTGTTCAGTACTATCAGCATGACACAGATAAAGAACCAAGAATCATAATGCACCCTCCGGAGGCCTCTGCAAGAACTTTTGCCGGCTTCTTTTCTCTCTGTTTCCATTGTCCTTTTTTAAGGGCATGGTGTTGGAAAACACAATAGATGCGATTTCTATCACTGCTCAGCTCCAGCACCTTACTCATGTCCTAGAAATAAAGTCACTACTTGCGGGTACGTTTCAGACTTTCTCCCATCTCTGTCTGTACCTGCCTCCATTCTTTGCACCCAAGACAGCAGTAACAACCAGAACACTTTAAGCTAGGACATGCTAGACGTTTTCCAGAATTGTGCAAATGGCTAACAGAAATATTTTAGATATATTGCAACACTAGACTCTGGTACAAATCTTTTAAAACATTTACTTGTTTGAAACATTTTTCTCTCAGTATTTAATTATGAAATATGATTAAAAGGTATATGTTATCATTAGTACAGTTAATTTTTTTTTTTTTTTTGACAGGCAGAGTGGACAGAGAGAGAGAGACAGAGAGAGAGAAAGGTCTTCCTTTGCTGTTGGTTCACCCTCCAATGGCCGCCGCAGCCAGTGCGCTACGGCCGGCACACCGCGCTGATCCGATGGCAGGAGCCAGGTACTTCTCCTGGTCTCCCATGGGGTGCAGGGCCCAAGCACTTGGGCCATTCTCCACTGCCCTCCCTGGCCACAGCAGAGAGCTGGCCTGGAAGAGGGGCAACCGGGACAGAATCCGGTGCCCCGACCGGGACTAGAACCCGGTGTGCCAGTGCCGCAAGGCGGAGGATTAGCCTATTTGAGCCGCGGCGCTGGCCATACAGTTAATTTAAGCCAATTAGATGTTAAGATGATTTATATTTTATTAGGATTCCCAAAGTAGTTACCAATGATAAATGAAAATCTCTTAGGCCAAATAAACTTAGCAGAGCTTATTTGAGCAAAATAAAAGAAAAACAACTTGTGAATCAGGCAGCTCCCAGACCATAGCAGGTTCTGAGCACTCCAGTGAATGATGTCATATGACAGCCTTTATAGAAAAACAGGAGTGCCACATAGAAAACAACTGAACTGACTACAGCTCAAGACCACCAACCAGTCAGCTGGTTACAGCTTCACTAGTTAATTGCAGACAAGTTCCAGGGTTGGGGAATGTCTGGCCCACAAAATCATTTGGTCTGGCTATGCCAAGTCAACTGCAAGCAGGACTCGAAATTCAATAAATCTATAGCAGCTGATTTTTAAGCTAATGATTTTTTAAAGATGTATTTATTTATTTGAAAGAGCTACAGAGAGAAAGGGAGAGAAGGGAGTGGGGCAAGGTGTGTGTGGGGGACTGCTAATTTTTTCTGCAAGTGGCTGAAATGGCCAAGGATGGGCCAGGCCAAAGCTAGGAGCCAAGAACTCCATGTGGGTGGCAGAAGCCCAAGCACTTGAGCCATCTTCCACTGCTTTCCCAGACACGTTAGCAGGGAGCTGGACTGGAAGTGGAGCAGCTAGAACTTGAACCAGCCCCCATATGGAATGCTACCGTCACAGAGGGTAGCTTAGCCAGCTATGCTACAATGCTGGCCTCAAGCTGATAATCCTGTATGGCCTGTGAATTATGTTATAAATATCTAAATAGCCTTTGTCAGAAAAAAAGGTTCCCCACCCCTATCAGTTAACTGGCTGCAGGGCCTTCTGCAACCAAATCAGTTACTGCAATGAAACTCTGTATTGGCTTGGTGTGTTGGGCCCAGTGTAAGTCCCAACCCAAATCCATGGCTTCCCACAAATTGTACTTAACTCCAGTATATTTAATATGCAAAATGAGTTTAGATGAAACCATTCAAAGACTGTGGAATCTTTTTATAAATATCTAAATCCACACCTCTGGATATAGAATTCGCAACTAGTCTTAACTGAAATTATTCATAAGGCCTTTGGTAATACAACGTTCAATTAGTTAATTGTTGCTAAGATTAATTTCACAATAATGAATAGGAAATTAAAAGGATTCCTGAAAATTTAGGGGGAAGAGTATGGGAGAATGCATGTGGTAGGCAGAATAATGCTCCCCCCAAAATGATACTGTCCTTATCCCAAGAACCTGTGAATGTGTGAGGTTACATGGCAAAAGGGAAATAAGGCTATAGAGACAATTACATTTGCTAATTAGCTGATAGTAAAATAGATTAGCTTAGATCATCTAGGTGGGCCCAATGTAATCACAAGGGTTATTTAAAGTGGAAGAGGGTCATGGAAAGGGAAGAACCCGAGACAGGCATGAAAAGGACTTGGTCTGATATTGCTGGTTTTGGTGAAGGCGGAGGGAACCTGTGAGCCAAGGAAAGTGGGCAACCTTTACAAGCTGGAGAAGGAAATGAAACTGCTTCTCCTGAGGAATCTCCAGAAGGAACATAGTCCAGTAGACCCCTTGATTCTAGTGCTGTGAGACCTGTGTCAGGCTCCTGGCTTCTGGATCTGGGAGGCAATGACATTTACTGCTTGCACCACTAAGTTCTTGTTAATTTGTTATGGTCAAGGCTGGCGCTGTGGCACAGTGGGTAAAGCTACCACCTGCAGTGCCAGCATCCCATACAGGTGCTGATTTGGGTCCCGGCTGCTCCACTTCTGATCCAGCTCTCTGCTATGGCCTGGGAAAGCAGTAGAAAATGACCCAAGTCCTTGGGTTCCTGCACCTGAGTGGGAGACCTGGAAGAAGCTCCTGGATCCTGGCTTCAGATCTGTGCAGCTCCAGCTCTTGCAGCCATTTGGGGTGTGAACCAGCAGATGGAGGCTCTCTCTCTCTCTCCCTCTCTTTCTATCTCTCTGTCTCTGCCTCTCTGTAACTCTACCTTTCAAATTAATAAATTAATCTTTTAAAAATTGTTATGGTAGGCCTGCGCCGTGGCTCAATAGGCTAATCCTCCACCTAGCGGCGCCGGCACACCAGGTTCTAGTCCCGGTCGGGGCACCAGATTCTGTCCCGGTTGCCCCTCTTCCAGGCCAGCTCTCTGCTGTGGCCAGGGAGTGCAGTGGAGGATGGCCCAAGTGCTTGGGCCCTGCACCCGCATGGGAGACCAGGAAAAGCTCCTGGCTTCGGATCGGCGCACTGCAGCTGGCTGTGGCAGCCATTGGAGGGTGACCAACGGCAAAGGAAGACCTTTCTCTCTGTCTCTCTCTCTCTCACTGTCCATTCTGCCTGTCAAAAAAAAAATTGTTATGGTAACAACCGGAAACTGATACAGAACATAACAATGAGGAGTAGAGTAGGTGTAGTCTGTAGGAGGAGAGGTTATAGTGGGAGGAGAGTAGCAGTACATTGAATCCAAAACTGAGGTGGAGTGTAGTTTTGTTTTTTTGTTTGTTTGTTTTTTTGTTTTTTGTTTTTTTTGACAGGCAGAGTTAGTGAGGGGTGAGAGAGAGACAGAGAGAAAGGTCTTCCTTTTTTCCATCAGTTCACCCCCAAAATGGCTGCTACGGCCAGGGCATGCGCCGATCCGAAGCCAGGAGCCAGGTGCTTCCTCCTGGTCTCCCATGCGGGTGCAGGGCCCAAGCACTTGGGCCATCCTCCACTGCCTTCCTGGGCCACAGCAGAGAGCTGGACTGGAAGAGGAGCAGCTTGGGACAGAACTGGCACCCCAACCAGGACTAGAACCTGGTGTGCCGGTGACGCAGGCGGAGGATTAGCCTAGTGAGCCGCGGTGCCGGCCAAAGGGCAGGTTTTGACAGGTGTTCTATTCCAAGCACTGAGCCGAAGCTTGTGGGGCCATAAGAAGCCAACAGAGACCCACGGTCATGACCACTGGGAAGAACTGATCTGGGGGTACTGTTGGGAAGGACTGAGCACTTGATGACTAAGAGACTGAGGGACTCAAGATGGTTCCCACATTGGCTTATGGGAGACTGAGGAAATAGTCTATAGAAAGAAATCAGGGAAGGAGAAAAAGATGCGATTTGTCCATCTGTGACTTGAAAGGAATTTAGAGACCATCACACTAGTAAAACCCAGAGCCAGAACTAAGCAGTCTCCCCACCCTGCGTGCCTGTCCCAAGACTCACACTCAACTCATCTGCTGCCAGTGGTATCCAGTTGGTGTTAGTGGTCCAAGACATGAAAATGCTTCATCACTGGGATATAAAACTGGGTAAAGGGAATCTCTCCTTGGTGTCCAGGGAGTGGCTCGTGAACTACTGGAAACTATTTCATACTGGAAATCTTCTTAGCACATGGGTTTGTTTTCTACATTTGAGAAGTTAAGAAATGAATGTTCTCCTGTGTCTTGGAATAATGGGAGGCAGGCAAAACCTCCTAGGGTAACATCATGCCATTTTACTGGCTGGGCATCAACATCTCCCTCAAGCTATTGTTAACCTAAGAAGAAATTCTCAAGCTGATATTGGATTCCTAAAATTGAGATAATCATAATACTATATTTTTAAGTTTATATAGTAGCATTTGTAATTTGCCAAGAGTTTTTCTCAGGTTTCATTAAAACCACAGGAAGGAAGTTCAAAGCTGGACAGCTAATTTTTACATTGGCAGATTGGAGCCCTTTGAGAAAAACATGTCAGCCTTGTATAAGATCAGCAAGTTTGTATGACCCTAGGAGATGCTT